TCTGTAAGATTATATAGTGAATACCTAAAGCTGTAAGATATCCAGCCACTGAGAAATCTTTGCTCCTGTCAGTGAAAGAAGACCCAGAGTATTTGCCTCAATATATGACTGTGTCATTCACTTGGGTTTTATTATTAGTTTGAACATCAAGAATTCCATTTCAGTCTTGGAAAGATGAGATAGCAGAGTATAGATCCATATTATTCTATTGTGTTCTTTTGAATTTGATTGTGCTTTCACGTAAGGTTTTTGCGAGGTGGTTGCAGTTTTGACTTGGGAACTTACAACCACCACATAACAGAAGCCTTCCTGTAAAATTAGGAAGGCAGGAGCTGATTTGTGTTTCAGTGCAGCAACTGCCCCAAATGACATATCTCAAATGATGAAACTTGTTGGCTAAATTAATTAAATTAAAATGCAGGACTATAAAAATAAAAACTGTCATTAACAACTATTTTTGTAAGTGTGTAAGTCTATTACTACTAGAAAGAGGTTATAAGATAGTTTTTGCCCCTTTGAGTTGTATCAAATGGGAGAGGCCAAATTTATAGCCACAAAACAATTAAAGAGTGAATAACTGTTCAAATGAGGGGCAGGTAATAAACTCAGTAGGCTTTGGGACCAGTCTGGTTGAATTCACTTGGAGTCCCAGCAAGTTTAGGCCAGAAGAACTGCTTGGGGCCACCTTGGAAGGAGGCTGTAGCCTTAGCTGGCAGTTTAGTTGTGGTTTCTTATCAAATGAGAGAGGTTCAGTGTTTGCAGAACCGGAGCGAAAGTGAAGGCATCATTAAAATTGTTTATGGATGAATAATGAAATTAGTTTACTGAGAAAATTGTGCAAAAGCTATTATTTGATCATTCAGATATCTAAAGCATGACTTCCCTATAAAACAATTTCAGACTGTGTCCCCATACTTTCCTTTCAAGCCCTCAGTAGATCAGGGGTTATTAACAGAAGTTCTACAGCAATGGGATGTTAACTCTGGAAACCGCTGACTTTCATTTTTCTGTCTCCTTAATGGAATTGTAAGTTTCATACCAGCATATTTCATTAAGACACCAAACAAGATTCAAAGAATGAGCTATATTTCCAGGCCTATTATAGCTGCCATTCCAAACAAAATATGTATGACTTCTACGATTCACTAAGCACAAGTGTGTAGTAATATGCCCTTTAATGGCCTCTCAAAATGACAGACCAAATGGCTTTGTGAAGGTCAAGTCTGATTTAAATTGTTGATGAATTAATAGCTAATTCTGCATGATTGAATATTAATATGGAACGGTGATAAGTAAGGCACTTTAAAGCTTAATGAGCACATTAATGAATAGGACAAAATGTTTTTCTACTCACCTCATGTACAAGTTTAAAGCTACTAACATATTGGCAATGTGTTAATTTTTGATAGCTGCTTTTTTGCTGTAAAAGTTTATATGGTTGAGGTATAAAGGGTATTGATCCGCCCCCCCCAGGTTCCTGGTACCAGACATTTGATAAGCTGTCAAAATTGATGTTATCCAATGGCCTAGGCAGATTTACATAAATCACTAATAAATGTAGAGGGTGAAAAAAAAATTAACATCTTCTAAACTACACCCACTGAGATAAGCATTCCAATTAGAAATTTCATTATTTCCACAGTTGGTTTTATGTTGAATACTGAGTTTTATTGCCAAATACCTGACAGTCAAATTGGAAACAAGCCACAACTGTCAACGTGTAACTGCTCCGGCTATTTGAATCTGTTACAAGTGTGATGTTTCTCATGAAAATTTAATGAAGAAAGTGCATTCAAAGAGGTTCTGTGCAAAAGGGGGTGGCTAGAATTTAATTACCCTTATTAAAAATAAGAAAGCAGCCCTCTTTACATTCTCTGCCTGATTACTATGCAAGGAAGATTATCTTTGTTGTGCACTTGTGTATATAGAAAGGGGCTCTGGAGTGTTCTTTATGTGCCGAGAAGGGAAAGGAAGGGCATGCAATTGCATTAGCCTGCTTTCCATAGGGCAAAAGTCAATTTTGTCAGCTCTCCCCATGGTGAGGACTTCATTTCTTATAAACGGTTATTAATTCTAGATTTTTTTTTCTAAGAGTCTTGAGTAAGTGGCTCGACTTACTTAAGTCTTTGACACTTGCCACTGATGGGCATGAATATCGGCTTGGTTCTTTAGAGAGATGAACTGGTAGAGAAGGAAGGACTAGGAGAGCCATGTAAATGCATGTCCGTGGATCTGCTAGTGAACCGCCAAGGGGAGGTAAGAGACCCTGGGAGATGAAGTCCCAGCCTGGCTCGGGAACCCCAGCCTGATTTCTGATTAACATAACTTGGTTGTTTTAAATATGGAAAATAACAACAAAATGTCAGCGTTTTCCTTGGAAACTCACTTGTACATGACTAAGGTAGTGGAGTTGACTTTGGAACACTTGAAGTAAATTATTTTTATCCTTTGAATCATTTTGTGTCAATAACTGCGGAGTGAGACGCTTAATAGTATAATGAATGTGGTGCAACAGCTATTGATCTTTTTCTCCTTTCTTTTTTCTTCAAATAACAAAAGAACAATGCTATAGATGTAAATGCATTGACAGAACCTTTAAAGCCATGAAGAATAGCTTGATGAAATAAGTGGAATAGGTTATTAAAATCAGCGTAGCCTAATTTGCAAAATGCTGTTTATGCGACATGTGAGTTTTAACATTCCCTTGGAGCCCTGAAAAATCATCTCGAAATTCCATCTCTAACCACTGTTGCTGAAACTTGTTCACTGTAGACCTCTGCTTGGCTGACAGTGTGTAAGCATTCAGAGAAACAATACATTACTGTGTCTTAAAAGAGCCCTGTCTTTCAGGCTAAGTAAATGTAGCTCTTTGAAGTTAACTAATTATATATTTTTAGTCTCTAGCCCTAACTAGCTGATGAGATAGTAAATTATTCTCCAGGGAATTCATAGGTCAACTCGATTGCCTCAGCTACTTCTCTTGGTCTGTGGTAGATCTTCAGAGTCTACACATTTTCCTACTAGATCCTCAGTTTTCTCCTACAATAACCTAGATTGGGTATTCAGGGCATCTTCTCTTTCTTGGGAGCTATATTCTTTGGTAGTGTTTTGACATTCGTTAACTATTCACCTTCAAAACTCTCTACTCCTTAACCATTTCTCTGACCAACTCTCTACCAGAAGTACTTCCCTATTACGTACAGTGAAAAATCCTCTTTTAACTGTGCAATGTATCCATAGATGGACTTGAAAATACTGGAGCTTCTTCTAAAATCTGGCAATCTAGACTAACTTGATCAATACAAAGGAGACCCAGAATAACTCACTGTGTGGAGGGGTAAACTGAGACTAGATAAAATGTACAAGACAGATGTAGGTACTGACTTCTATGGAAGCTCCAAGGCAGAAAAGATTAAATACAGTTGGGAGAGTTTCAAAAGGATATGCAGGGGGAAAAGGAGACATATGTACTACTATTTATAATACCTTAAATGATAAATTCAACAAAAAAAGAAAGAAGGATCTGTAAAGAAGGGGATTTTGGCTGTGTGGCCTTCAACGGACAACATTTGTCTGGAAAATGGTGAAAACTTCAGTATAGGCATAAAAAAAATGTCCTATGTAGGAGATCATCCATGAGAGGCTGGGAAAAATTGGGCCTAATTTAAAAGAACTTTGCTAGTCAGATTTAGGAGATTGAATTTACCCCAAAGGTATAGTGGGGTGATGGTGGAGAACAGATAGATTTGACTGAACTTGGTGGGGACCTCGAAATGAAGCCTTTTCCCTAGAAATTGTACCTCACTTAGACTTCAGCAAGACCACAGGATCAGACCAGAAGTTGTAGAAGGCATCTAAGGAGAAACCACATCTGATGATGTCTAATGTTCTGCTCACTGGTGTTTGTGCTTTTGAGTCATTTTGGAATTGGTGGCTCATGAAAATTCATCAGAAGTCACGAAGGAGTGTTGATTAAATTAACACCAGGCTCAATCGGAAGTCAAAATGTTTCAAAGTGGTCTTTAAACAAACAGCCACGTTGTAATTTAGGTAATTATCACCCGTGTAGCTAAGCTCCCTTCCGTGTGGGAATAGAATGCATCTTATCTTTCTAATGCTGGCTGGAAGAGCTGGCAATGCAGGTTATGGATGTGGGCCATGCTGTGGATTTCAGAGGATTTTATTTTCTCAGGATCTAAGATCTGGGACAATTTTGATGTGGGATATGGATAAGTGAACTTTGGATGAGTTGAAGATTCAAAATTTAGAAACTTCAACTTTTTAATGGCCAAAAATGGTGCAGACCTTTCGAATGGAGAAAAGTATTTTCTTACACTAAGGCGTTGCTTTTGTTTTGTTCTTTGGAAACAGAAACTCTCAAACTTTTTTTTTCTGATGAATTAAAACTCCCTACAAAGGAATTCTTTTAAGCTGAACATCATGCTTGTGAAAAACATATAGAGTTTTACTTAAAAGTTACAAAAACATTTATCAGATTTGAATATAGATAGTTTAGCCTCGATAATCTGCTTGCTTTTCAGGTACCTGCTAATCCAGCCCTGCTGGGTTTGTCCTCAAGAGAAGTTTCCTATCTTAATGCCTACACTTGTGATGATCCATCTTTCTGGCCAACTCAACTCATTCCTAAAGGCCCATTTCAGAGCATCCTTTGGTGCTCACTGACCTCCTCAGGCAGCCATTCTGCAATTACTTCTCCCGCTGAGCTCCTAGAAGCTTAGGTGCATCGTTTTAACAGGGTCTTTATCAAATGTGTCCGAGCTCTGTGCTAGGCAGTTGCCTTTTAACTTAGACTGTGTCCTCTTCTGGCCAGGATCAACACTGTGCCTGTATCCTAATCTCATAAATGCCATGTTGCCTGGTGTGTGTTAGCTTCTCAGCAAATGCTGAATATGGTAAGGGGGGAGATTAATGGGCAATATCTCTTTAATCTTGGGCATCTGACTTACTAACCTAATGAAGTATCACCTTTTGTTTTGCAGAGGATCAAATTCCCAGGGGCTTTCCTACCATTGACATGGGCCCACAGTTGAAGGTGGTTGAGCGTACACGCACTGCCACCATGCTTTGTGCAGCCAGTGGGAATCCGGACCCGGAAATCACTTGGTTTAAAGATTTCTTACCTGTGGACACAAGCAACAACAATGGCCGTATTAAGCAGTTACGATCAGGTAGGGTCTTGTTACTGTTTCCACTAACTCCTAAAGATTTTTTTTTCTTTTAGCTTTCTCTCTCTTTATTTTTAATTTAATTTATTTTTATTTTTTAGGTATTGATTTTTCTCCCTCTTCTCTTTCTCTGTTATTTAATGTGTTGTCCATGTTTGTGACGTCATAGCCCGTTTCAGAGTCTGCTTTCTCCTTCTCTCTGTGTGTTTTGCAGCTTCTGTTTAATCCACATTGCTCACTGCTGTGACTGTATTTTTGATAATTTATTTTTTAATTTACTGCTATTTAGCAGTATTTGATGGATCCATTTTCTCTTTCTTTCTTCTTTCTCTGTTTTCTTTTGAAACAAATTTATTTCAACATTGGAATTCATTCAGAACTTGCAAGGAGTTCCAATGGTTATATCCATTAAAAAACAAAATGTTCATATGAAACACTAAAATGATTCAATTTTATTGAAGTGTGTTTTCTCTGTCGTCCCTACATTTGAACTCATCAAGAATACCAAAGTTTAGTAAGTTTGGTCACATCTTTCTTTTCACTAATACATAAAACACAGAAATGTTATAGCATGAGTAACCAGATGTATTATTTTTTTAAAGTTTTAACAAAGAACCCATGAAAGGAGGGGATTTTTTATTAATGTTATCATTATTATATTCTCGTGAGTGAGCATATGTACACCTTAGCCACAGTAGTGTGCGCCCACACTGAACATTTTTGAACCCTCCAGTGACTGGATCTACAGAAGTCTGCTCTGGGTGTAGACTCCAGCTTTTGCTGCTTTCTCTCTCTCTTTCTCCCCGTTACCCGTCCCTCCTACCCCCATCTCAAGTTTATTCCTTTGTTCTCTTTAGATTAAAAATAGAGATAATTCTGAACTTCTTAAATTGTACAGCCTGTCCCTAGGTAATCTCGTAGGGACATTTACTAATGAGCTGTTTACTTTGACATTGGTAGTAATATTGGTATAGAATTCTAAGTTGTTTGACTGCCTGTCTTCCCAGAATTCTCAGCTTTTGACCTGTCCTGTGATGTTAAAGCGTCTTGTTAACTGCCTCTCTTTGCTTGTTGTCAGCAGAATTGTGTAGATTAGCATTCTGTTATTGTAAATAAAGAATTAATTATTCACATGTAACATAGATGATTTAGTGTATAAAGCTTTAACTCTGAAAAAAATTGTACCAAATTATAAGGAATATAATAATATTTTTATGCTGTCTTTCTTCTCTCCGTATTTAAATCTCCAGAATCTATTGGTAAGTGCTTAGTTCTGAAGCGCACTTCACCCCCACTAATTTCCATATTCAGACTATGATTATAATTATTATTATTATTATTAATAAAATGCATGGCATGCATTTTACTAACTGTCAGTGTAGACACCAGATCTCCCTAGTGGCGTGCACACATACACACACACATCCATAGCACTGTTTTCGTAAGAACACTATGTAGAAAAACAAAATAGTACACAAGTTATAATATCACACAAATGTAGCATAGTAAGTAGAATAAGATAGCCAATCAAGTGTTTGTTTCTAGTTAGTCTGTAGTATTTCCTATGACAGTATATATATATGCATATCTATATATATACTTAAATAGATTAGCCAGTGTTATCTAAATTGTCTTTAAAAAATATTATTGAGTCCGTTTATTTTTTTTTCTAAGAATATGAGGCATATAAGATCAATTCTGACCCTATACGTCCCCAGACCTAAGGACTCAGTTGCTTCTCTGAGAAAGGCAATGCTGCCTATTGTGGTCTTGGCCCTCTGTGGTATAATGCAACTTGCTTTTATGATCTAATAATACTATCTCATATACTCCTGTTTTACCAGTATAGTAATTCAAGTTTCTTTTAAGACCTTATATAATTCTGTAAATCTAATTTAATTCTTCTCCCCAGCCCTAGCCTCCTCCTTCTCGTACTAATGCTTCTTCTTTCTAATCTTATTTGCATTCATATTATCCACCCAGGTGGTACACCAATAAGAGGTAAGAGTGCTGAACTAACGTTCACAGAATGATCTTACTCATTCTTCCTGTCCTCTCATCACTGTCATCTTTGTCCTGTTTTCAGAATCATTCCAATAATGTCCATCAACTTTATTATTATTTTTTTTCTTTGTACTGTTTGGTTATGATCGGTGACTCTCATATTGTGAATTTTCCTTTCCTTTTTCCTTTTTCTCTTTGTTTTGTTCATTTCTTTCTTTATGAAAATAATGATTTCAGTTGTGATATGCTTCAAAGAAAGCATATCCAGGTCTTTAGACCACAGACCAGTCACAGCGTGCCATCTGTCCCTCTTTTTTTCCTTTTCTTCTTCCTTTTTCCTTTTTTGTTCTTCTTTTTCTTCTTTTTCCTTTTTTTTTTTTTTTTTTGTCCAACCGGAGAAAAAAAAAAGATCATTTTTTTCTTCCTTAGCTGTTCTTGTTCTGGACCAACGCCGAGGTGGTCTGGGGAACAGTGGCAGACATGCAGAAGACAGCCCGGAGCGTCTGCTTTTTGTCTTATCTTTCAAAAGGTTTTTGCTTTTGTTCTTCGGTTCTTTTTTCTCTTACTGTCTTAAAAGTCAAAGAATGACTCCCCTTTCCGCCCGATCCCACTCGCCTCCAACCTGACAGTGATGCTTTTTTCCCCCCCAACTTCTTTTTTTCTTGGATTACTCGCCTCTGGATTTTTGGATCTTCTGTCCTTCAGGCTATGGAAACCAAAGGTGCTCATATTCTTGGTGGTATGTTGTGTTGCTGGTTTTTCCTACTTTGACTCAGTGTGCGTTTCTTTTCTAATTCTTGTTTTGTATTTTTCTTGGGGTTTTGTGACACCACACGACTAATCCCACTGGTGGATTTTGCTGGGTGTCTTAGGGGATCCGTCCTGAGGTCCTCGAGCAGTGGTTCGCCGGCTCTTCCTTGCTGGCATAGGCCGTGCTTTTGAACTTTTTTTAAAAAAACCTTCTAATTCAACTACTCTTTGTTTTTCAGCAAACGTAATCTATGATTGTAAGTCGTGGCAAACTGTCTTTCTTTTCTTAAAAGTCTGCATGTCTTAAGGGAGTCTTGTTTCTTTAAGTGATATTTTCCTGATATATAATGACTAATTTTACTTTTTTTGCTTTGTGCAGCCTTTTTGTGCTCGCTGCGTATTTTTGGCTTTCTTCAGCGGAAGACTTTCTTGAAAACCCGGCCTGGTTTTTTTTGAGCGTGCCTATCTTTTGCGCCACTTTTGATACCAAAATGAAACAAAACAAAACCAAAAATTAATCTTTTGTTTGATTTAAAAGCCATACTTCCTTGAAGCAGTCTCACCCATCTTCATTTTATTAGTCTAGGAGATAAGAGTGTTAATTATGACTAGAGTTCTTGCTGGGGAAAAGAGATACTGTTTTCTTATGCTAGCATTGATGATGTTAAAAAAAATAATCTCTCTATGTTTTTCTCATCGCATCATTTTCTGTCTGTGCACCTTAGCGAGAGATTGAATCGACGTTGAGCGGACCTTCGCTTTGCAGGGCTTTGCATATTGTTAAGAGGTGTAGTTCTCTGGACTGAGAAGGCCTTCTCTGACCATCTCTTTGGCAATATATTTTATATCCATACAGGCGCCCTTCAGATCGAACAGAGTGAAGAATCTGACCAAGGGAAATATGAGTGTGTTGCCACCAACAGCGCGGGCACTCGCTACTCTGCCCCTGCCAATCTATATGTCAGAGGTAGGAATGACGTCACCCTGGCACCGGTTCATTCAGGCCCAGGGGGAGCGGGGACACCCACGCCATCAGTGTGGTGACGTCGGCATTTAGCAAGCCGATTTGCTCATAGTTACTGTAGCTGAAGCGTTTGTAGTGAATAGAGAATTAAAAAGTTTAAATATGTTGTTAAAAACAATTAACCACTTTTGAATAAAATCTATCCCGAGGCTTGAAGTTTTGTAAGTATCTTTGCATTTTTACATCTTGATTTCTGTTTTGAACGCATTGTTTGAACTGTGCTTTGCATTTATTTGAGGTTTTCTCCTTTTTCTTTTTTTTCCTTCTGTTGCTGTTTTTCTTCTGTTTCCTTTTAAAACCCTGAAATAATTGCTTGGTGTGCTACTAATCAATTCTCTGTGCAACTCCAAGCATAAAGGTATTTATGTCTTCAGGACCTCTGCTTGGAGCTGTAAGAATAAAGCTTCTAACTTAAAAAATAAAACGCTACATGCATATAGCACATTGTATTTTCTCCCTTCTTTTATGCTTTATTTATAAACATGTCATTATGTATGTGCATATGTCTATGCATATATATATATATTTTTACATATATATATATATATAGACACATTTTTTTAAATTACTGATTTTCTCTAAAGTTTGATTTTTTTGATTGGCATGGAACACTGATTATATTTTTAAATGAGGATACTTTCATATGTTCTTATAAGTAATAGAAATGATTAAATTTTGAGCTTATGAATGGCCATGCTTTTCATTTCAACTAGAAAGAATTATTTCTTCTTCCCTGGCGTTTTCAAAGCCGAGTCATGTAGTCTTTTTGTCCAGTAGAAATGCTCTGATTCCAGGTCTACATGTCTGTGAATAACCACAAAAGGCGTGGGTGGGGGAGGAAGTAGGTAAAGGACTGAGAGGGCTTTAAGTTACAGCAGGGTGGGTTCCTTTAGGAAAATATCTAGCTTGATTTTGAAATTTTTGTCTGAGATAATTTTGTTTCCGTGGGGGTGCTTTTCTCTCCCATGTTTCTCTGGAGTCTAAGGTGGGAGAATATGAAGAAAACCATTTCTTCCCCAAGGTCTTTGAAAGCCCCTTGATCCTTGTCCTCACAGTGGCGACCTCCTGTGCTGCATGAGGCATGCATACCTTCTTCAGCGGAAAAATTTCAAAATCATGCTAGCTCTTGTTTCCAGTACTATGCTAGTCTGTGAGGTATTGCTAACATTTTCAGCTGAGGGAGGAAGGATTAACTAAAGCAAATAAAAATGTTCAAGTAGCAGTTGAAAGCCTTGATATGGCCTTTTTACTCTCTCTGTGTTTCCCTTGTTTTTCTCCTTTCCTCATTTCATTGTGTTCTGCATCAAACCCCCTACATCCCTCAGAGCTGCGAGAAGGTGGGTGTGTTTTTTACTTTTTACCCACCTTACAAAACTATTCATTAAACCAATAACAAAGAATACAAATGAAATGAATGTAGCTGCATTGTGGTCTTCCTTTGGTGAATGGTATGTTTTAGCAGAGAATGCCCTGGCTATGGCTTCCGGTGCTCGCTGGTGGTACCTAACAGTGGTGCATGATGGGAGAGAATGTACCTGGGTGCATGGTAACTGGTGCCACTTAACTCTCTTGGGTCCGATGAACTTGGTCAGTGTTCCTGCTTTCCTTCCTATTCCACTCTTCCCCCCCCCTCCGCCCCACCTTTAATTTCTGTCTTACAAGGGTGCCTGCTGCCCATAGAATGACTGTAGTTGCTCCCCTGATCCCAAGCATGAAGACTAAACTCTCCTCCATTTCTCTCGATATGTTCTCTGACACCTTCGAGTCTCCACTGGCTCCTGCTTGCTCTGTGTAACCTGTGAACTGGCTGCAGGAGGCATGCCCAGCTCTCTCTTCACTTCTCCTCTGCTTGTCATTCACTCCTGAGGCCATCGCAGCGAGCCCTCTCCAATCAGTGGAGGTTTCTCTCAACCTGAAGTGCAGCCAAAAAGTTGACAGACAGAATTACATACTTATTATCTTCTTGGGGTTATGAGATTGTTTGTTTATTAACTGACTTAGGATTTTTTAAAAAAAATCACTTTCTTACCTGAATTTAAGCTATGCTCCTAATGATTTCCTCTTGATCTAAACTACTCATGGTGTAAGGTTTTGCCAAGAAAAGCCCAAGATGAAACCCGTGTCTCTTACCCTCTCCCTGTATCATGTACTTAAACTTGGCACATAAATATGCAGATTCCAAAGCAGGAACACTGAACTGTAATTGCTTGGTAATTTTTACTGTGTCATGGTGTTACATGTGACCTTTTCTCTTAATGTCATGTCCCACTATATGTTTTAGATGCAGTGTCCCTCAATTTGAACATAGTCTTAAAAAGCCTCTCACTACATTTTGTTGTCATCATCTACGTGTTTTACCTTAGAAACGAACTGAATCGAATCCTAAATGTGAAACGCCCGGCTCCCTTTCTAAATTTGCAATCCTTACCTTTGACAACCCAGCTTAATCTAATATCTTCCTATTTACAACCCTGTCACCCCCCAAATTCCTGTCTCAGTCACTGTACTTGACGTCCTCCCTTTGTGTTTAGCTCTGTCACTCTGTTATTCCTCCTGCTGTCATTGTTGTCTTGGATTCCAGACATTTCCCCTTGTCCTGAGCACGGGCTGGAGACGTCACGTGTGCATGCCTTGCATGACCCAGTTTGGTACCTTTTAGCGTTGGCTTTGTTTCTTCTGTTGTGACTGTGAATCGATACGTCTGTGCACCTCTGTGTTCGTTCCAGTGTTAGAGTGAGGTCTCGAGGCCACATCTTCTCTGAGTCTGAAAGTGAACACGTTGTCCTTTCACTGCACTCTGGAGGATGCTCTCCAGGGCTGGGGTGGGACAGTGTGGCCCCACGTGTGCACTCACAGCAACTGGAGCACACAGCATGGAAGTTGGTTTGATACCCAACTTATACCTGCTGGTAACCTTCCAGCCCCTGCTGTCGCATATACATGCATGCATAGAATCACTGTGATGTGCATGCATGTATATGTTGTTGTGTTTATCTTGTGCATGATGTTTGTCTGTTGTTAGCTTGTAGATAGTCTCTTTTGGGGGGGCCCTTGTAGGTCTGAGTCAACATTTGTATGAATGTGTCTAAGATATCAATGACTGAACTAAATCAGTTCTTTGTGTGTTTACACATACCATACTTGTATGGTCTGTTTTCCTTTGTTTTGTTTTTGGACGACCCGCAGTACATTCCAGTTGTTTACGTGTGTCTGTACAGTGCATGTCATGTGTTTAAGAAGCCATTTTTTTTCTCGCCTTGTATAGTTTATCATCTCCCCTTGTGTTTTGTTCCAGTTCGTCGTGTCCCACCAAGATTCTCTATCCCACCCACTAATCATGAAATCATGCCAGGTGGAAGTGTTAACATCACCTGTGTGGCCGTGGGGTCACCAATGCCTTATGTGAAGTGGATGTTGGGGGCAGAAGACCTGACACCAGAAGATGACATGCCAATAGGAAGAAATGTCCTAGAACTGAATGATGTAAGACAGTCAGCAAATTACACCTGTGTGGCCATGTCAACACTGGGCGTCATTGAAGCAATAGCACAGATCACTGTCAAAGGTATGCTCAGCAGTGCGTGCTTTGGGGTCTGGCTACATCAAGTCACCTGCCTAACGCCTCTGTAAAGTCTGTCATTGGAATTCTAAAATGAACCAATTCATTGTTCAGTGTTTTAGATATCATAGCATGATTCTATCTATGGCATCACATAAGATACACATATCGATGTATGCAGTTTCTCTGGCATTCTAAGAAGCAATAATCATCAAAATATTTAACAACAAGCTGGGCCCAGGAACTAATCAGGCAGAATGAGGAATGCTAGACATAATCAACTATTATGTAAGTTTCACATTAATCTAGAACTGTGATAAGAGTCACATGGCAGAAGAATCCAAACAACTTTTACTAAATGTCAAAACCCCTGCAGACACACAGAGAAGAAAAAAAGTTACAATGAACATGTTCAAGATAGAGACTTTACATTTTTTAATGGGCCCTACCATTAAGAACCAAAATGCAAGTAAATTTATAATCTCTTTTAGCATTGGAGTTCACCTTGTATTGATGAAGTGGTAAGAAATACTCTGTCCTCAGATATTTTTGAATCAAAGAAATAAAAAAGTGACTGTGTAAGGGCATTGTTTTTTCCCAATGATTATAGACTTCTAGAACACATTTATAAAATGGGTCAGACTGAGGAAGAATTGAGGTTTCTGAAAATACCTGGAGCAAAATGAACACAAATTATCTTCTCTGTTCTAGGAAGTTTGATCCTAAGACATGCAAAATGAGTGTTATAATTGGTACCATATCTCCAGCCAAGCGTATCCTATATAATAAGGAGGGAATATGCTAATTGACCATCACACCCTCACAAGATGGCAGCGTCCAGTCCCCTCAGCCCTGCCCGGGACAGGGGGGGGGTTGGCGTGCCTTTTGCCGGAGTCCCCCAGTCCCCTCATCCCTGCCAGCAGTGAATTTTCATTAGACCATTACCTTGTTAAAAAATCCATATCCAAGGATATGATTATTTCTTTTAGATCATCTGTTTTTGGGGAGCAGGCCTAAGCCAGCAGGTGGGCATCCTCAGGGGTCCCAGACTGTGAGAGAGCACAGGCTGGGCTGAGGGACCCCCCGTCTGCATGAATTTTCATGCACCGGGCCTCTAGTATATAAAATATATGCCTTAGGAAATCAACAGTGTGATAATAGAACAAAGGCACACACAATAGGCAACATTTAATCATTTGAAGTAGTAACACTATATTGTATATTCTTAACTATAATTAAGCATGCTTATATTTATCCATACATTATAGACACAAATCCTATACTGTACAATAATTGTGACTTAACAAAACTAATAATGTCTGTTAGTTATCAGTAAACACACCTTTAATTAGCAATATTTTGACTTACCTTAAAAAGTCAGAAATACATCTAGGGTAAATTTGGATTACCTGTTTCTTTGAAAAAATGTCAGATTATTTAAATAAATGTGTTTTATTATTTTTAGTAAAATCCCTTGGCCAGAGTGATAGGCAAATAGTGAATCACCTTTCTCATAATAACCATTTGAGCTTAAATATTTGAAGTGTTACTGAAAACCTTCAGGAATTCAAACGCAGGAGTCACATTAAACTTAACATCCTGCTCAGCTTCTTATCTTTATTTTCCTAGCTCTTGATGTTTCCCTACCTTTTCAACTCAAAAGTAAATAAAATGTAAGGGTGATTATTGAGGTCAAAAAGTGAACCAAAATAAAAACAGGAACTTGAAGAGAGTGGGGAGAATGGGTACTGACTCATTCATTTAGTTGGTCATGTAACAATACTTAATTAAAAAC